AATTGTGGATGTAAGTGCTTTTACATTTGAAGCTCACAATTGTATCTCACTGCTGATCACCCTGGAAGATTATACTATTGAACTTTATCAGCATCAGCTGTTTATAACTAGCCATTTTTGGTCGCTACATAGGTTTTTTTTTTTTTCAAAAACTTTCTTTAACTGCAGGATGGGCTTGACTATTTATCATCTATCTCAAAATATATTTATGGAGAGGCATTCTGTGATGTTACTCCTTCAGATTATGTTTATCTTTTGTGGCCGTATGATATCAGAATAAATAACTTCTCATTTTGTCTCATTGTCTGATTAACACGAGAAGAAACAAAATGAAGGCTTTATCCTCATTCTGGCCATGCCCCTACCTTCATTATTGGATGCTTTCTTTGAAACTTGTAGTTTGTAATCTGTTAACTTCAAAGGATATTAAGTAATGAGCTTTGAACATGTTACTTGCTATTCGACATTTCTTGTTTGTGATCAGGAAACCCTGTGTTGTAACTGGGTACTTTCTATGAAACTAATCTGAAAGAAAATTAAGGAATTGGTTTTCTACAATTTGCTTGCAATTCCATATTTAAGATGCCACTCTTTTTTACACAAAAAAGGATTTTACTCTTAAATAATAATAATATCCCTAATTGCAAAAAGTAATTTCAGGAGTAATAGGATGGGCCAATCTGTCATTCCGAATTTCTTCATTATTGTGATTCGAGTGCTATTTTTCGAAATTAATAGTTTCTATTTCCTCTGCCAATATATCAGTTTTAATGCCTGTCGTTAGCCAAGAAGCCCTATTTTAGCTTTTCCTGCCTAGTGAATAGGACAGCAATAATGAATGTATCTGGTGGCATACATACAGTAATATGTCTTATTCCATCCTTGCTTGATTCCTTGGGTACATTTTTCTTTGTATCACTAAAAACACTTATACTTTACAGTTGAACAAAGTTGTCAGTGGCCCACGAGATGCTGGAGCTATTGGAGATATGGGATCAAGAGAAAGTGAGTAACTGGATGGGGATATGCATTTCTTTTTGGATAGATATATTAACTGCTTGGAACCAGTCAGCTCTTAATTGTTAGAATATTCTCTCTCATTTTTCTCTATCTTGTGGAATTTTTTGGGGCCTGGGGGGGAGGATTGGTGGTGGTGTCTGGATGAAATTTTCCATTCAAATACCTGCTAACCTTTATCTTTCAAAGTGAAGAGTTATTTCAGGAATTATGTTCTGCCTCAATGATTATGTAGGTGTCAGCCTGCCAAATTCCTTTTTGGGAAAATCGTTCAAAACGCCTCACATTTTGCCAAATGAATTTTTTTCGTCCAAGTTAGCAAAATTTGGTCCCGACCTAAGTTTCTGACCACTCTTTAGCCTGAAATCACCATATGACCTGCATGTAGCCATTTTTTTATGTACAAAAAAGTCAAATCTGTTTTTTTAGTGGCAAAAATGAATATTGATTAGGTCAGATTCCACTTTTTTAGTGAAAAAATGAATATGGTTCCGGTCAGATTCTACTTATTTTAGGGGCAAAAATAAATATGGGTTGTGTCATCATTTGTTTAACTACAAATGGGAGCTAATTTTTTGCTTCTAAAAAATGACCATATGTGAGTCACGTGATAGATCTAGGGTAAAAAGTGGTCGAAAACCTTGGTTGGGACCAAATTTTACCAACTTAATTTTGTGAGGAACGTAAAGTAACCATTTTAAAAGTAGATGACAAACAAATTCATTAGGAGAAATGTGAGGGATGTTTTTGTTTTTGGATGATTTCCCCTTTTTTTTTGGCTCACTATATTATATTTGCTGTTGCATTCTTGTGGCCTTATTTGATAATTTCCTTTGGATATGATGCTATTTAGTTATCCATTGACTGACATAAAGTATGTGGCTTTTTTCTTGTCCTATATATCAGGTTCATCTGCAGCTGAGTGGGTGCAAGAGGAAGATTTTCCTAGTTGGGCTGATCAGAATGCATTTGATACAGAAAGTACACAGGACAGTAAGAGGTGGCCATCACAGCCATATCCTTCGTCTGCTTATTATCTGGATTCTAAGAGTCTCTACAGAACATCTTCGTATCCTGAGCAACCACAGCAGTACCCACAGCAGCAGCTAAATATACACCAGCACTACTCTAGTGAACCAATTCTTATACCAAAATCTTCTTTCACTTCATATCCTCCTCCTGGAGGCAGATCTCACCAAGGCTCTCCAAATGACCAAGCACGACAGGCAAATATTCCATATCATCCTGGTGGACCTCAAATTCCACGCTCGTCAACCAATCTTTCTCCCTTTCCTAATCCTCAGCTTCAGATGACTGCTTTACCTCATGGTTCACCAGTGGGTGGAAACATGCCTCAGTTTAGTCCTTCAGGTCTGCCGATCAGTAGCCGCCTGCAAAACCAGTGGTTGACTCAAACAAATATGTACCCTGGGGACCATTCTAACCTTCCAAATAGTATGTTACAACAACATTTACCTCATCAAAATGGACTATTGCCCCCCCAGTTAATGTCACAACAGCAACTTCAACAACACAGATTACAGAACCCTTTCCAGCCAGCATTTGGCCATTTACCTGGATTGCCATCCCAAGTACTCAATCACCATCTTTCATCTTCCCCTCAGATGACAAGTAATTTTGATATGCTTGGGTTGGCTGATTTGAGAGATCCTAGGATTAAATCAATGGTAAGAGGTAGGCAAGGCATGCGCTATTCACCAGGATTTGACATAAATAGCCAGAAGAGTGACAATGGGTGGCCAGTGTTTAAATCCAAATACATGACAGCTGATGAAATTGAGAATATTCTGAGGATGCAGCTTGCTGCTACACACAGCAATGACCCTTATGTAGATGATTATTACCATCAAGCTTGTCTAGCAAAAAAAACTGCTAGTGCAAAGTTAAAGCACCATTTTTGCCCGAATAACCTGAGGGATGGTCCTGCTCGGGCTCGCGCTAATAATGAGCCACATGCCTTTCTCCAGGTTGATGCACTTGGGAGGGTTTCCTTTTCTTCAATTCGCAGACCCCGTCCACTGCTGGAAGTTGAACCCCCAAATGTATCTGGTACTGGTACCACTGAACCAAAGGTGTGCGAGAAACCCCTGGACCAGGAACCTATGCTTGCAGCTAGGGTGACTATTGAGGATGGCATTTGTCTTCTACTTGATGTTGATGATATTGACCGTTTTCTGCAATTTAACCAACTCCAAGATGGTGGAGCACAGTTGACTCAGAGACGGCAAGTACTGCTGGAAGGTCTGGCAGCATCACTTCAGCTGGTGGACCCACTGGGCAAGAATGGCAACACAGTGGATCGGGCTCCTAAGGATGATCTTGTGTTCCTGAGGTTGGTCTCTCTTCCCAAGGGTCGGAAGCTGTTATCAAGGTATCTTCAACTTCTTCCTCCAGATGATGAACTTGTTAGAGTTGTCTGCATGGCAATTTTCCGTCATTTAAGGTTTTTGTTTGGGGGCCTCCCTGCTGATCCTGGAGCTGCTGAAACTACTAATGACCTTGCAAAAATGGTTGCATTTTCTGTTCATGGAATGGAGCTTAAAGCACTTGCTGCATGTCTTGCATCTGTGGTTTGTTCAGCTGAGCATCCTCCTCTTCGTCCAATTGGAAGCCCTGCAGGAGATGGGGCTTCTCTGATTCTGAAATCTGTTCTTGAGAGGGCAACTGATCTTCTTCGAGATCCTCGTGCTTCTGGCAACTGCAGCATGCCCAATAGAGCATTTTGGCAGGCCTCTTTTGATGCATTTTTTGGTCTTCTCACAAAGTATTGCTTCAATAAGTATGACACCATTATGCAATCATTTCTTAGTCAGACCCTGCCAGACATGTCTAATGTTAGTTCTGACGCAGCCAAAGGCATCAGTAAGGAAATGCCGGTTGAACTCTTGCGAGCTAGTCTTCCTCATACCAGTGAGCAACAAAGAAAGCTGCTATTGGATTTTGCACAGCAGTCGGTGCCTGTTCAAGGGTTAAGTAATCAGGGTGGCATTAGTGGTGGCCCTTGAGTGTAACGTGTTATTGCGAGGCTTCACATATAGCTAAAGACATGCTGGAAGACATGCCAGTGATTGTGCAATGAGGGATTAGGTTTTTTCCTTTTTCTTTTTTCTTCCTTTTTTTTTTTTGGGGGGGGGGGGAGGTTTTGTGGGTGGTTACCTACAACAATTGGGCTTTTGTTACTAGAGAAGTTTTTGAAGGGTAAGCCTGGTTGAATAGCTGCTTGCTTCAGACGCATGAGGAAGTAATCCTGAGAGAGTTGAGTGTAGGCCAAAGTAATCCTGAGAGACTCGAGTGTAGGCCTTCATTTCCCATATCCATGCAGGCATCGTTGAAGAATTTTTATGTTGGATCTGTATTACAGTGAGACTTATTATTTGTTTTTGCTTTGGAGCTTATTTTGATGCTCTGTTGTTCAACCCTTGATATAGTAATGGGTAGTAGAAGCCAGAGATGTACAGAGTTCACTTGGATTTCTGCCTCTTTGCCTCTATTTTTAATTTTAAAGGAGGTGGAAAGGAAATTGTTGCTATGTTCTGATATCAAGACGGCAGGGCAAATGTTTGGCAGCAGTTTCCATGTTTGGTTCGATTCAAGCCACAGTTAAAAGTCTGTAACAGTAGAGATTTCAAGCTTTTTTTGCCCCACAGTATTTACTTGGATGGTCTAGTATATTTTACCCGTTTTCTATACTATAGTTGATGTTCCTAATTTTGTCTAAGATCCGATGAAATTGTTAAAGCTCTTAGTTCCATCTTTGCTCGGTTCAGGATCGTTCGCAAAGTGGCAACCTAAACTGGAACCCATTAGCATCAGGCATTTGCTGTGAGTACATTGTTTCGCATGCTTGCGACGGGGTTTCAACTATTTGTCGTTTGCCTGTGTTATCTATTGCTACAAGCATGCACTACAGTACAAGTTTTGACTCCCGGCGAAGAGCAGACAGATGCTGTTAGACGGGTAGCATATAGGGGAACGGTAAAAGATAATAGGATAACTCAGTTACTGTACGGTCTGTGTGGTAGCGAATGTATTCAATCGAAGAAAAGCATATTTTAGTGAAAATTGCATCAGACCTTCCATGTCAGACCAGGTATTCCTTGAAATGGATGCACCAGCTATAACTGCACTACGAGCATCTCTCTTGCAACTGCGAACTTCCGAGAGCCGCTTGGTTTCATACAGTATCAGAGAACGTAACAAAACCTTTTGCCCAATGCCTTGAAAGTTTCTAGGTTTCAGATAGCCTGAGAACATTTACATGTCACTTCAGTTATTAATATCCTCCTTGGAAAGTTGAACTGAAGCAGCACGCACCATTTCAATGAAACTCTCCTCCAGTTGATCAAGATCACCAGAGTTGCGTAGTTGGTGATACAACGGGGCCGCATAGGTTGCAGCAATTTCAGCCAACTTCCACTGTGCAAAATTAGCAGCCAATTGGATCAGTTTAACAGATAGATATCTATCAGTCTCTAGGCCAGATGATACAACTCTGAAGCACTGTTCGTGAAGGTCCTCCAAGAGCCAAAATTCAGCAAGCCAACAAAGCTCTACATACAGTTGCAATTCATTAAGCCTCTGATCAACTGCCAGATTGTCCCACAAACAATCAAAACTGGGCTTCAGCAACTCATCAGAATACAACCAGCTAACCAGTTTAATTAATGAGTTCCAACTAACCGGTACTTTGATGGTTTCTGAATTGCTGCAAAGGTTACAGTTGTCAGGTAAAAAAAAAAAAGAAGTAAAACAGGAATCTCACCTAACATGCGGATTGTCATATCTTGAAATGAAAAACTAGGAGATAAAACAACTTAACAATCCAATTGTTCATTATTCAAAAATTACACGATCAAACTAAAAGGTTTCCCTGCTTGAGGTTTGTCTTACAATTTTTCTGGCTTAAAAGTTAGTGTGCAAAGTCAACTATCATAGTTTACCAGCAAGATAGATAGAAATATACCTTTCCACCAGTTGGAACTTTGACGGTAACAAAAAGGGAAGGGAAGGGAAAAGAAAAGCTGTACATGCCAGTATCAAGTTGCAAAGCCTTATATTCTCACCCACTTTGAGGAAAGAGGCAGATAAATCTCCAAATGCAAAATAAATACAACATCCAACACAAAACATGCAAAGAAGAAGATGACCCAAGAAGTTCAAAAAAAATGAAATAGCATCCACACAAGCAGCACAAATTTCCAAACATGACCAACTGTAGTGACTGCAAAACAGAACTTCTCCGACTAACATACTAACACACAGAAAATCACAAGATTAGTATAACTGCACTTGCAGATTTAATGTGCCAAAAATGTTCCATGTCTAATCTCTATCATCTCGAAAAGTTATTTTCTAGTTAAATGAGCTCCAAATCTAGAGGTCTCAATATAAAAACCGTAACTCACATCAAAGTACCTTTCTTGCATTCCTGACTGAAACAACGCTCGCAAATAATCGCAACTTGAAAACAATATAACTTTATGCACATGGAAATGTGGATTAGGTGCTGAGCAAAAACTGCATCTCCAGTTCAGCAGTTGGATCGTGTTAGGTTCTAAGAGCACATCCCTGAAATTAAAAACATGAAAAGGTAAGCTAGTTGAGTTTTTAAATCATAGGATCAAAGGATAACACTCTGCAAAGCGCTTTTCACATTTCACTTCATCCATCCTAGAGTGTACATTCAACAAACCATATGACTCGCATCCATATGAACACACACACAAAATATGCTTCCTATCTTAAAACATATAACTTAGCAGCTTGTACAAGTACTTTGATCTCTCCATCTCATCCCAGACAATGGTGAACATGGTATCAAACATTTTGCTGGGGAACAAGAAGTTATACCTAATCTCCAAAACTATATTGCTCTTAATAGATCTCAAGCCCAAATAGCAGCAAAGGCCAAGCAGAAACGAAAAGCATTTCACACAATCTAATGCAATTCAAACCGAAGATTGCTGAGATAAATTATCAAGGAGAAGATACATACGATGAACAATGTCCAACTGGCCCAAGAGCCGAAGTAAGATCAAATGTAGGAATAGGAGCACCATATCTTGGATTTCGTCTATGAAGCATGTGTAGTAGAGGCTGCAAGTCACAATGCTTGGCTAAAATTTTCAAATTTTTCAAAACATCTTCACCTGCTTGTAAATACCCCATGTACACATATTGCAACAACTTGACTAGTGCTTGGTGATCTACATGAGCAGAGAGACGAACTTCTACTTTAGACCCCCTGTGTGTCTCCATTTGCTGCTCCAGAAAAGGACCAGTACTAGATTTCTCTTTAAGCTTCGGTCCTTGCACAGGCAGTAAATTCGGACACCGAACTGAAAGAATGACTTCATTCACACACAACGAAGATTGGTCACTTAGAATGAGTTCTAAATCAGCAAGTTCATTGTCCAAGAATGCTTTCCAAATTCTTTTTCCACATTTGTTGGGGAAGCCATATATCCCAAAATGACTAAGAATATAAGCAGCATACCATCTTGGTCCAGGAGTAGAATGATTAATGCAGATCTCCTCAAGTTCCCTAACTATCTGGGATTCGTCAAACTCCAGTTTAACTTTTAAGAAACCAGCATGAGAGGCAAACTTGTGTACCAATCCAGCCAAGGCCCACAGACTAAAAAGCAATTGCATGTCTTTACCTTCCCAATCTTCCACACAAGGATGGCAACAAACTCTTTCACTGTAAGAATTGTGGAGATGAGGTGCCAAATTTGACCTTTTTATGTATACTGGGTTGCTTAACCAACACTTCACAAAGATCAACAGACTCTGCATCCCTTGATGATCAATAACCATCTTCCCATATCTTGGCAGACTAGCGTAACAAGCCAAACTTATCAAGCTAATGACAACTTGAAAGTTACCTGGTCTTAGAACCTTATTTCTGCAGGATGTAGCATTCAGGGTATTCACCAAGTACTCAATGTAGTTCTTGCCATCCAGGTTCAATACTTCAGATAGAATGAACCTGGCTTGGGAGGCAATATACTTGCAAGGGGAATAAACCATCATCAGAACTGCTCTTGAGGCTGATTCACTCCCAATTGTGTTGGTGATTTTGCTTTGAGAGATCTGTCGTGCCATATTTATAGATTCTGTAAAGGCAAGGCTGCCAATAAATGGGAGAAAGAAGACAGTAGTGGATTGGTCAAAAAAACAGAACAACGTCACACTCACAGAAAAAGATAGAACCTTTAACATATCAAATAACAAGAGAAGGAAAGATAAGAAATAATGCTAACTTGGAAAATGAAGCTAGGCTATGCAAAGCTAGATAACATCATAAAGCAGTATTACCATGCACATGCAATTAGGGCTTTGAGCTCAAGTATATCTTCATGCACCACGGGGGCGAAATCTTCTGCACTATTTGCTACAAGCCCTCCTAGAATATCCCAAATGTATGGTCTCAGTGAAGGAAGAGAACTTTCATTGAGAGCCTCTTGCAATATCAGTAACTGTTCTTGCAGTGGCACACCATGCAGAGATTGGTGAATTCTCCAAAAATCGGTTAGAAGAAGACCAAGTAGAGCTCTACCAACTCCAGCTTTCCAAAAGTAACTGTGATGATTCCCCACCCAACGAGTGATCAGAGCCAAACGACAAGCTTCCACTGCCAATGACATCTGATCTTTTGGAAGCTTTCCAGAACTTAAACAACTGCTATTCATTCCAGTAACTATGGCTTTAACTACATGTTCACCACACATTTTCACCACTTCTTGACATGGTCCTTCATTTATCTAAACAATTAATGGTACATAAGAATTTAAGTCTAAATGAACAAATGACATGGACATATTCAGACGTAAATACTTGCAAAAGAAGCAGCCAAAAGAATCACAACAAGAATACCTACCATTAGACATTGGGCAAGTCTGAATCCATCCATCTGGACTGAATGAGTATCTGGGCTGCTCATGCTCTCCACCATTAAATTTAGAAGGCTTTTTCTGTTTTCTAGGAGCTTCTTAGCCCCATTACCACATAGAGCTGGCATTTAAATTAAGATTAGTGTCTCCATAGTAGCGGACTAGACAAATTTTTGCAACTTGGACAGAAAATAAAATACCTAAACTAGAATATAACTGCAAGAGCGCAGCTTTCAAGGAGCTTTCAGGATTGAGTTTGTGAATTTCTAACACATCCAAAAATTTTGAATCACTCCACACACAGAACCTAGAAGGTGGCCAACGCCATAAGATTCTACTCAATAGAAGAGCCATTTCGTGAAAGTACGCGGTTGGTTTATCACCAACAGAAAAATCCTTCACATTCATTACAAGAACAAAAACTGTATTTCCTTCTTTCAAGATCTCCCCAACTTCCTTCTCTCTTTTAGTACTCAGATTGTATAAAATGCAATTCAAGGCAGTTGCACATGAAATGGACACATGTAACTGTCGGTTAGATAACAATGATAATAAGTGGTGTACTAGATGGGGAACATGTGCTTGCAGCACCGAACTTGGTAAAAGTTTGACCATCTTTGCAGCCACGTCTGAGGCCATTTTCAGTAGGGATTCACTTTTTAATTCCAGAATGCTTCCCAAAGCTCCAACAATATCATCAACTGACTCCTGAAGAAGGATAAAGGCAAAAGGCCAAACATAGAAGGCACGAAGTGTCAAACAACTATAATAAGATGCAAGTGTACAAAGAGTTGATGTACTACAAATTACGAGCAAGACACTTTATGCATCCATCTAAGAATTATGATGAAGGAATTCAACTTTTCTGATAAATTGAACTTCAATAAAAGTTGAGTAGCAAATCCCTGAGATTTGATCAACTGAGTTTCTCAGACTCGCAGCTATCAAAAGCTGGAAGGAATTAATCAACAAATAGACAATCCTACCTAGTTCTTTAGATTTATGGTGAATGCAGGATTTCCGTCCAGTTAAGATTCGGATCTTCTCAGCATTCCAGATAACGGGTATTTGTCCCATGCCATTGAGACCAGCCAAGGGAGTTGAACGATAAAATTCATCAATTTTCTTCACAATTCAGGCAGTATATAATCCAAGCCTCATTTCCGAGCTTAAATGAGCTAATTTTCACGTAAAGTAATTCTCTTTTTTTTTTTTCCCCTTTCCCTTTCTTGGTTTAGTAAAAAGAAACCCTGTGACCAACTTGAAACTTGATCAGACGATGTTCGTCAACAACTTGTTCATTTGTCTTTGTTAAGGAAGTTACACTAGTTGGTTGGATAACAATAACAGGGAAGCTGACATTATAATGAGTGTCACAATAGAAGGTTGCTCTAAAAATGGAAATGGTCGGAACAAAGAATAATTAGCGGGAACAAGGTCACTGATGCTCACCTTTACAAGAGGATGTTGGGACAAAGACTCGCTGGATACACAATCAAGGAACGCATCGATTGCACGGAGGACAAGCTTCTGAGTTTCAATATCCGTGCAATGCCATTTTTGTCGTTTATCATCACCCCATCTGCATTTAAAAGGAGCAAAGTTGGAAGACTAGGAACGAACAAAATTGAGCTCGCTTATCCAACACTATAAAGGGAATCATGAAAGCTCCCAAAAAATCCCCGGAAAACGAGTTTTAGTCCAATTGTTTGGGGGAGGCAAAGCTGATTCAACAAAACTAGACGGCCTTAGATTATTCAGCGTTCTTAAAGATTTAGAATAGCTGGAAAAAAAAAGAGTAGTAATTACCTAACGAAGTGACCGAGATTGAGTGCATCATAAAGGCGTTGATGGAGCGTTGACACGCGACTGCTGACACCCATCACCGCTTGCTTCGACCGTCTCATTCTCTTAGCATCTTCTTCTCTCCTTCCCAGCAATTTGCTTCGCTTCTTAAATCAATTCAAGAAAATGGTTCAGGCCTTCTGGCAATATATGCGGGTCTTTTCCCACTGTTCGCAGCCAAATCAGCTACCTGAGTCGGTTGTTCACTCATTTTATTTATTTATTTTTAAAAACTCTCTCTCTCTCTCTCTAGCATCTCCTTCTTTGGGAAGGGACGTGTCTTTGAGGGAATAATTAATTAAAGGGTAAATTACATATAATCCCCTGTAGTTTCTCTTATGACCATATGGACCCCCATTATTTTACCATGACTACATAGTCCCTTTGCGGTTTTATAGAATGTGAAAAATGGACGGAATTGAATATGACTAATAGCATCAATTGGAGGGAAAAAAAAAATTGACATTTTCATCTTTCCACAAGTGTTTACATAATTCGTTAACTTGCTCACTATATCGCATCAATGCAAGAAAAATAAGAAGTACGAAGCATCAACTTCTTGGTTTCAACTTAAGTTAGAACTTGGGGCATCACCAGATTTTGTGCAAAAACAAAGAAAGGAAAAAGAAGAAACATTGGTTTCAATTGGGGAATTAGAAGTGGAAGCCTAGTAGAAGATGTGGTTTGAATGATGGAATATATGGAGATCAATATGGCAGTGGAGATCGGGGAGTTGGTGGTGGCGGCAAGCATAGTGTTGTAGAAACGAGAAAAAAACAGAGTGAGAGAAATAGAGGATAAAGAAGCATACTCACGTGGAAAAAAAAGGGAGAAATTATTAGCGTGGGAAAAATGTTTAAATATGGGCAATTTAGGAGAAAAAAATCTCATTTTTAAAAAATAAATGGGGATTTTTGAAGGATTAGGCTCACGTGAGAGACAATCTACGTTAGTTATCTTAAATTCTGTGTATTTTCACTTTATATGAAATTTTCACAAGAATATGATGCAGTTATTTTTAAATGATAGGGGGTCATGTGATTGTAAGAGAAACTGCAAGGAAGTTATATGTAATTTATCCTTAATTAAAATTCAATTTTTGTTATTATATTATAATTAAACGTTGATAATATGTACATTATCTGTTTATACGAAATTCCTTAGAATCATATACAAAGACGAGGCTAGCGTAGTTTTTGTTTTTTCCTCCTCCTTGTTGGGCTGTAAATCCAATATCAAACCACTCGTCAGCGTAGTCTACGTCCTCTTGGACCGCACAATGCTACTCACTAATAGCTTGTTGCCATAACATGGTCTGGTCCTAGGATAGGCCCAAGTACTTGGAATGAAAGGTGCGTAGTCCCACAAACGTCAACCTAATATGACCCGGTCCATGAAAATAGGACCAAAAAAAAGAAGAAGTAATAATAATAAATAAATAAAAATAAAATCAAGAAACCGCAGTCGTACGAGCATCCCGTTGGATGTGATGTGTAGGGTTTAAGGAATGAGGGGTTTATTTTGACAGAAAAGTGAATTAGAATCCTTTGCCTGGGTTGGCTATTCCGTTGCACCTCAAAGTCCAAAGCCGTCAAATTCTTAACTGGGGCGACGATTAAGATTTAGATAGTAGTGGCCTGTTGTCTGTAAAAGGGAAGATGATTAAGGCAGGAGGAAAAAGCTATATTTCGTCGCCGCCGGCATTCTCAAACGACACTAACAAACTCCTCGTCTGCACCGGCAACACCGTCTCTATCTTCAGCGCCTCCACTGGCTTACTCGTAATTAATTACCTTCCCTCAATACACACACACACACACACACACATACACACATGTTGTAAATAATGCTTGTAATTTTTTATTTTCCTTCGTTACAATTCTGTAGATAAATGAACTTGAAGGTCACACCGCACTAGTGACATCGGTGGTAGTGGTGCCACCAACTTCGCCGGCCAATAAGATATTAGCTTATTGTTGGACGGCTTCGCTTGATGGTACCATTAGGTACTGGGATTTTTCCGCTTCCGAATTGATGAAGACTATCAATATACGCGTCCCAATTCACTCCATGGTAATCTGATACATTTCTTCAATACTTATTTATTGGGTGTTTCAGCTGTTTTCTGCCATTCTGCTTTTTCTGGAGTATAAAGTTTGAATTTTTGTTGGTTGCACGTTTGTCGAGTTTGAACATTTCTTTGTCGTGGATAAGCATAGCATCTTTGCGTCTTTGTTTCCAGGTGGTTCCTGGTTTATTACGCAAACCGGCTGATCATGGTGAGCAGCCATCTCATCTCTTTGCTTATCTATGCACCGAGGAGGTGAAAAAGCAAGGACATCGGAATGCCTCCGCATTCTGGCAGATTCGCAAGTGTAATTTAACTCAGTCTCGTTTTTTAGATAAATTCACTTTAGCTGAGGTCAGATTCCTTTCTACTTTTTGTTAGAGGTTTTCACTATTTTCTCACTGGCGGCTTTCATGTGATTGAATGAATTCTGTATGCTGTTGCAGACTTTAAAACCCCAGATTATAACCATTAGTCCGTTTGGAAACTACATTGGAATTTGTGAAAAGCACAAACTTCGAATATGGGAAATCCCAGCAAGAGATGCTAATCATGTTGCCCTCAAGAAAATGAGATTGCATCATACAAAAACCTTCACCACTCTAGCTTTTCATCCAACAGAGAGAATTGTAGCTGCTGGTGATGTTACTGGGAGAATCTTAGTATGGAGAGGTGTTGGGGAAAAGACATTTTCTGGTGGTGATAATAACTTGGTAAATGGTGCATCACATGGAGATGCAGAGGAAAAGCCGGGAGTGAGGCAGGATGATGATGCTGATTCTTGCACCACATGGCATTGGCATTCTGCTGAAGTAAACGTCTTACTTTTCTCTGCTGATGGTGCCTACTTGTTCTCAGGTATTTGGAATTCCTTAGGATTGGTCATTCTTTAGTCCTGTTATTTTTATTGAGCGATCTATATTTCCAAATTGAACTCTTCCATTTTGTGACAGGTGGGAAAGAAGGAGTCCTTGTACTATGGCAGTTGGACACAGGGAAGAGAAAGTTTCTTCCACGTATTGGGTCTCCACTTCTGTATTTCACAAATTCTTTGGATCCTTCCCTATCTTCTGTAAGTGGAGCTGTTTAGCTCTTGGGATATGGTTCGATTGCATTAGCTTTTACTCATATGGTTTGTTCAGGTATCCTGTGCAGATAATCTCATTCATCTGCTGAAAATGCCTTCAATGGTTATCTCGAGATCTATTTCTGGCATCAAGGTTGGTAAATTTGCATAGATGTGGCATTTTATTTATGTCTCTTTAGTCAATTGGGTCTGCACGCTTGAGTCATAGGAGATTAACTCAGCTGAAATGTAAAGGTGAAGCGCAAATTATTTCATGCATAACTGCCATAAGGGAACTCATATGCTTAACTTTCAGCCTCCCAGTTCAGTTTTGCAATTCAATGAGGGCTCATGCAGCGGGGTTGCTTTTAATCACTCTGATGGTTTGGCTGCTATATGTACGGAGAATTACCGTATCCAATTTTACAGCTTGTTCGATGACCGTGAAATTTCTGAGGTAATCTTGTTCCGATTGGAGTCAGCTCTATGCCAACTTCAGTCAAATGCTAGACCTAGTAATTTGGTTTCTGCAAGTGAGATAAGTGGATTACGCTTGAATTTCTTGGCCTTTCACTTACAATTCTCAAATTTCTGTTGTTCATTCTGAAACTACTACCTCTCTAGTTTTTTTTCGGGTAGTTCCTCTTCCATTTTATTCCAATGCTCTGGCTTTTTCTGTGGCTACATGATAGTGTCTTTGCTTTAATGGATTTATTTTGGCTGGAAAATACTCTTTTCTGTTCTTTTGGTTCCATTTCAACCATCAACCAGGGGATTTGTGATATCTTCTTTTATTCTTTTGCAGGTTCAAGTCTGTGAAAGGAACCATCAACCGGGGGAGGAAATCACGGTATGCATAACTTTGAATAAGCTGATTCTTCTTTCTGTTGTGACTAAGTAGATACGTTAGCAAAGGCTTCTTGGTTTACTAATATAAATCTATAATAGGGAAAGGTAAACTAACAATCATGGAATGATTGGTTATTGCACTGGGCCAATTTATTGCTGCGAAGGTTACAATTATAGAATGATCTATGATCTATAGATCCTTAACTCATTAAAGTTACAGCTTAAGGTTATTTAATCAGATTTAGATTCTTTCAATGTGCAGCAACAATTATTGTGATTGGGGTCTGCATTGTTCTAGGCTAGTTTAGTTACTCCAGGAATATCTAATTCCATTTATTTGAGTATGCAATCTTACCTCTTGGAAACACATAACGATTTTTGCATTATTTTGTATTTTGTAGGTGATTGTGAATTTGGTTGCCCTCTCCCCTGATGGTTATAGCATGGGCACTGTTGAAACTAGGCTTCCTGAAGAAGGAATAGGGGGCCTTGTAAGTTTAAAATTCTGGGAGTGTAGCTCTCAAAGTAAAGAATTTAGCTTATCCACTGTTGTATATGAACCACACAGGTTTGTCCTTGTCTAAGTAGAAATTCTTGGTTTCA